CTCACAGGCAGCTCGCCACCATGCAGCCTGGCACCTTACAGGCAGCTCGGTTCTTAGCCAAACCGACCACCGCATGACAACCCCGAGGAGCTCACCACCATACCCCGCATTTTATGGGATTATGACTTGTAACGACTATATTAGCTCACCCACTCCCCGATTTAGGAGGAAATGGGCAACCTTACCAGTTGGTGGCTTTATCCCCACCTAAAATGAAAACAGGTCCCATCACAGCGGGAACCCAGGAACTGCTCCACCAAACCCACGAGGACTCCAATATATAAAGGCCTCACCCCTAGGGGTGAGGGAGAAGGAGATGAAAAGGTAATCTCTGCCCTCTAGCTCTCCCACTCTCTAATATCATCTTTAGCTCACAACTAAGTGTTGACTTAGCCATCGGAGTGACCTCGTCGGGTAAACACACTTGGGTTCTCTGATTCAGTTCTTGCAGATCAACCAGGTCCGCTTTCTACAAAGATGAGCAGATCATCTCCTATAGGGAGCAACCGGGTTGCGCTACACCAGGGAGATCCACTTCAGCCTATGAGTCATCGACCACCTGGGAGCAGACCAAATGACAAGGTACTTAGCACAAAAAAATGATACGTGACCAGAAACTGGAACATCAACACCAATTAGAGAATGCTAGAGATTGAGGGAGAAGGAGATTTTGATTGAGAAGGAGAGTGAGGGAGAAGAATGAGAAAGATTGAGGGAGAATAATAGAGAAAGTGATGTTTTGATTTGGCTACAAACTGAAGCAGAGAGAGTGGGAGAGACAGAGTGAGCGAGAGATCAAGAGATGATTGTGAGAGTGAGAGAGAAGGGAGGGAGATCAAGAGACAGAGGGAATGGGAGAGAAACTGAGAACCTATTTTCGATATAGGTTTTCTGTTTTGTGCAACATGGAATAAGAGTCCCATGTTGGTGTTGGACAGTTTTGTATGCCCTTAGCTTCAATTAGAATGATGTACATTATGAGTTTATTGTAAATGAATAAAAGTACATATTTGATTCATGTTCCCTTGGTATGTTTCTGTGTAATACCCTTAAACTGGACACTTAATGAGACTCATGTTAGTTTAGAATGTTCACAGCCAGTGGGTCGGTCTGGGGAGACCTATCCTGATAAGGCTGGCACTAATGTGCCACCAAGTCGGTTGGGGTGGCCTGTCATAGCCGCCAGGGTGAGACCCTAGGTGCATACAATGTAGGATCAATTGAATCTTTGAACCGGACCAGATTTCCAGTATTGCCCTGGACCTTGGAGATTAATGAGCAAAACTGGAAAGTTACACCCGACCCCTAGATTCGATTATGATACTGCACTAGGTGTCGGATTGAATTGTCTTTGATGTACCAATCAGTGAGATCCTTAGCGGGGGTCAAAACCTGGGTATGTTGGGACAATCTGAGAATTCATCTGAGTGGGTGATCATAGTGACAGGATTAGCCCCTTTGTTGGACAAAGGTAATGATCGGGGATGCACTCTATCTGATGGAAACCAAGACTGTCGGCAGCCGATTTCAATCGTTGAGATTTGTCTTGGAAAATATATTTTATATGAGATACAAAAGTATATATACATTATGGTTTCTAAAATGTTTGCAAAATGTTTTAATTCCCATGATCCATATAAGCAGAGAGTGCAGCACTGTTCCTTGCAGCCGAGGGAGAGGTCCTCTCTTGTCAAGCAGTGTTTGATCATTATGGGCTGAGAGGTTGAGTGTAAGACCATAGAGGGTTATACCTGATGTGCTAATCTTGCATCTGTCCACAGTCCCTAGGTGTTATAAGGTGGCTTGGCCCAGGGACCACTTATGGTAAGTGTTGGGCCCATAGAGCCCATTTGATGGGTTTCAGGGGGTGCACTGTCCATAACAGTGTATTCGGCCTGGCCTTGTAATAGAGGCTGGGCTGAACCCATGTGGCTGATGTGTAGATCAATGCTTGGGTCCCACGCCATACAAGGAAGCCCAACTGGGCAGCAGTTAGGAAGGCTAAGTGAGCACATGATCTTAATGGGCCTAAAGCCCATTTCGAACTAGGCTGTTTTAATTAGTTAAATATGGGGCGAATTCTGGGTTGGATTAGCAGATCTTAATGATCTTAATGGGCCTTAACCCTATCCACTCAGAGAGTCCAGATCTAAATGCGATTTAGATTTGGAAACCTCCTAATGAGATTAGGAGAATGCTGATCTAATCTGCAGATAAGATAAGGGTTTATCCTTATCACCTAAAGGGATGTCTGATCCAAAGTGAGATTTGGATCAGCAACTCCTAATAGGATTAGGAGCTGATCTTTTAAGGTTGAGAAAAGAAGGAAGGGGCGGCAGCCTTCAGATTATCACAAGATCATTAGATCACTGCAAGTCTTTAGAGCTGAAATCACAGAAGAGAGAATTCAGCATACCTGCGAAAATTCTCTCTTGTCGCCTCCTTCCTGCCGCCGCCTCACCTGCCAATTCGACCTCCTCTTCAGTGGGAGAAATCAAGATTCGATCTTGATATCAGTTCCTTGTGAAGGGACTGATAGGAAGCTGTGCTCACGTGCTAAGGAATAGGTTCTTGGAGAAGAACACTGCTGATTCTACTCCATCCTACACTGTGCCATCTTCAGTGGGAGCAGTCTTTGGATCCTTCCTTGGGCGTGAACATCTTCGTTGGGAGATACTATTTCTCCGTATCAGGTATAATCCTCTCCTACTGCTTTTGTTCAGATCTGGTTCAGTTTATGGTTCAAGATTGATCCTTAAAAATATGATTTTCTAAATAGGGAATGTGATTCCCAGTTGAAGGGAGAGAAAAATTTTTTGGAATTCGCCCACCTAATTCTGCAAGTTTTGGGCGTCCATACGATGGATTTCTCATCCCCTCAGTTGGCAACAACCACATAAGCTTCTGATGACATGGCAGGGGTTTTTATAATTTGAAATGTAGAACCGGTTTTCAGAGTTTGGTTGGTTTTTGGACCAACCTGCAACCTAATTTTAAATGTACAACCGACTTTGACTATAATTTTCCCTTTAAATTACATTTTAAATTTACATTATATAAAATATTTTTTCCTTATCACACTTAATTTTTGTTTGTCTATAGTATCATTTTACTCAAACCAATAACCCACCATCTAAAAATAAATTTTTTTTGATTTCTAGGTTGACATTAAATTTTGTATTACATTTGCATCATTGATAAAATTATTTCTTATGTATAAAACTTATTTTTGTTCAATATAATGAATGTACAATATTAGATATGTACCCAATATTTTATTTTTTATAAATATATAACATTAGATTTGTACCCAAAATTTTCTCTTATCTTTTTTTTTTAATTTTTGGGATTCTTTGTATTTTCTATTATTAAAAATTTTATTATTTGACTATGACATAATTTCTAGGTAGATTTTGAAATTGGCTTTCCATTTTTATTATTAATAAAAATACTTCTTACATTTCATAGTTATTTATTTAAATTTTTTATTATTTAATTATGGCACTATTTATTAATCCATTTGACCCCAAATGGTCAAATTGCTTACCCACCACTGGGAGGGAAGAAAATGGTTTTTTTTCAAATTAATTTTCAAAATATTTATTTTTATAATATTAAAATTAATATTGTGGATTTAATTACAAGAATTTAATGATGGGAAAAAATATTTTAAATATAGGATTTAATGAGAGAGAATTGGAGAATATTTTTATTTCCAATTGGTTTTAAATTTACATTCCATTTTTATCATTAATAAAAACATTTCTTGTTTAACATACTTATTATTGTTTAATATGTATGTTAAAAATGTTTCCAATTTTTTTAATTTTATCTATTTTTTTAATTTATTATTTAATCGTGGCAGCATGGACTAACCCATTTAACCCAAAATGATTTAATTTTTTACCACCACTTAGATGAAAACACTATTTTTGCTAGGTAGATTTTAAGGGTATAAGCTTTTATTTTATTGAAATTATTAATTTATTAAGTGTAGATTTAATTGATAGAACTTAATGATGAGAAGAAATAAAACTGACTTTTTTTTTTTTTTTGCAAAAGAAAAAGATCTTCATTAACTGATTGTAGAAATAGTTACATGAGAAGATCGTCTAGAGTCATATTGGATACATAGCTGCCCCATGCAAGATATGTAAGCAAAGAGATGAGCAGCTTGATTATGCTGTCTATTAATATGTACAAAATTTATAGACAAAAAGAGAGATCTAGCATGTCTTAGACTGTAGCGATGTAGTTGATCCACCCAATGCTTCGCTGATCGATCTGTATTCACAAGATCTATAAGATCTGCATTATCAGAAAAGACTAGGAGATGCCTGATGTTGTTCGAGCTTGCAGCTTTGAGGTCAATTAAAAGGGCTCATATTTCAGCATCGTAACTGTTGATGGCCCAACAACAACCTCTTTCTCCAATTTGGAATCCTTCAATGGTATTTTTTATGATGAATCCTCGTCCGGCACTTCCTGTAACTAGATTAAAAGAGCCATCAATAAACATGGGGGTGGTGGGTGAGTTGAGTAATGGTAGGTGATCAAGCTAAACTTGCTTAGACATGATGAGGCTTGTTCTTTACCAAACTGGCTTTTCATTGCATTGTACCAATCTGATATGATGATGTGAGCCGGTTGGATTGTAAGAGAGCCGGGGTCGAATCCAATCTGAGAGCTCCACCAGACTGTTCTAGTATAGTGACATTGAAAGAAAAGATGAAGACTATCTCTTTTCTTTCCTTATAGAAACTACAGAGCAGGTCTAGGCTTCTCATCCACTTAGAGCATTTATCCTTCGTGAGTAGCCCATCCCATAATAATTTCCAAAGAAATAATTGGAAGCGATAGGGAACCTTGAGTTTCCATAAGATTTTCCAATCGAAATGATTGGCTGAAGCTGAACTTTCTGCATAGTTATATAGGTGGTATGCAGATTTAACTGTGAAGACTCTAGAGTTATTTTTCTTCCATATAAGTAGATCCTCAGATTAATTGGGCTGGAGTGTAATGTTCTGAATGTGGGCAATGAAATCCTCGTCAAAAAGTTCTTGGAGCTTTGTGTGGTTCCAGCTGTGATCTGGATTTAGCAATTCTGCTACTTTGATATTTGCATGTGGACTTGTATTGCCTGATGTGAAAAGATTGGGAATGTGTCCAGGTATGGATGGGATCCAAGGATCAACTACAACGGAAATATTGGAACCGTCCTTGACAACCCATAGTAGATTGGATTTCATGGTATTAGAGACCCGATGAGCATGTTTCCACCAACATGAGCTTCTTTGTCCTTTCTTGGCCGCAAAAAGAGAAGTATTAGGAAAGTATTTCTCTTTTATTAGTTTATTCCACAACCCATGCTTCTCTGTGAGCAACCTCCAAATTTGCTTTCCAAACATGGCTTTATTCATTTCGGCACTTGTTCGAAAACCCAGCCCTCCTTGAGTTTTAGGGCAACACTGTTTTCGCCAGGCCATAGTGTGATGTGTAGGATCTTTGGAGTTGAACCACCAGAATGTTCTACTTGATTTATCCAGTTTGGACGTCATAGTGCTTGGAAGGATGGTGGTTGACATGGTGTAGGTAGGGATTGACTGTAGGACTGATTTGATGAGAGCCGTTCTTCCAGCTTGTGATAATAGCTTGGTACTCCACGCATTGATCTTTGAAGAGACTCGGTCAATTAATTCTTTATGAGAAGTTCGCAATCTGTTATTCACTAGTATAGGAGAGCCCAAGTACTGAGACCCTGCTATAGATGACTTCACCTTTAGTGAGTGAGAAGAATTTTCTATGCTGCCTTTGGGCATTTTTGCTAAAGAATATGCTGGATTTGGCATAAATTATCCATTGGTCAGATAAGGATTCGAACATTTTGATGGTGTTGACCAGAGCTCTAACTTGTGACATGTCCACTTTATAGAAGATGATGCAATCATCAGCAAAAAGCAGGTGCGTAATGGGAGTTCCATTAGGACAAAAGGTGACCCCTTCAATGCTACCTGAGTTGGAAGCCTGAAGTAGGAGCTATGAGAAGACCTCCATACCGATGATAAATAAATATGGGGATAGTGGGTCACCTTGTCTTAAACCTCGGTTCAAATGAAAATGTTCATATGCTTTTCCCGCAATTTTGGTTGAGAAGGTGGCTGTGGAGATGCACTGATGTATCATGTTGCACCATTTTGCTAGGAAGCCCATTTTCCGTAAGACATGGTATAGAAAGCACCAACCCATCCTATTAAAAGCCTTGGACATATCAAGTTTGAGAGCAATGAAACCTTTCCCTCTTTTCTAAGTTTGCATTTTCTGTAAGATCTCCTTAGCTATGAGAATGTTGTCTGTGATCTGTCTGCCCTTAAAAAATCCTGATTGGAAGGGTGATATCTCCTGTTGCAGAATAGGTTGCAAACGAAGCACCATCCATTTGGAAATGATTTTGTAAAGAACATTGCATAAGCTGATTGGCCGGTAACTGGAGGTGTCCACTGACTTATTATTTTTGGGGATAAGGACTATGTTTGTGTTTTTTATTTCCTAGGGTAAGTGTTCACAGTTAAAGAAGTTTTGAACCATGGAGAGGATGTCATGTTTGAGCACTTCCCAGAAATGTTGATAAAAGTTTGCCGTGAAGCCATCTGGACCTAGTGATTTATGAGGACTCATTTCTTTTATTACTGAAGCCAATTCTTCAAAGTTTGGGGGGAGGAGTAAAGCTTCAATTTGCTGGGCAGATAGCATGGGCAGGCTAATGTTCTCTAGCAGATTTGGGTTAAAGCTTTCCGGCTGGCTCCCCGTGTTCAAGATGACATTTTTAAAAGTGAGAGTTATGGTTCCCCGATTAGATGTCCAGTGACCATTTGCAGCTTTTAACCATTCCACATTACTTTTGGTGTTTCTAAGATTAGCCATTCGGTGAAAAAATTTTGTCCCCTTCTCTAAGCCGAAGTTCTTGGGATTTGAGTCTCCATAATTGCTCTTCTTTGAGCAGCCAGTAATGGTACTGCTTTTTGAGGGAATTTAGTAGTTGGTGTTGCTTCTCATTAGCATGGGACATTTGGATGCTGGAAATTTTATTAGAGAGTGTTTGAATGTGGTCCTGAATCAAACCAAAGTGGGATTTGTTCCAAGCCTGAAGTTGGGATTTGCATTCTTTCAATTTTTTTGTGACTTGATGAGCTGCTGAACCTGTAATGTTTTGGTCCCAAATTTGGGTGATAATTTCTTTGCATTGTGGGTATTCAGTCCAGAAAGGTAAGAAATGGAATTGAGGTCTTCTAAGTGGTGGGGATGGGTTGGTATTTATACAAATGGGACCATAATCCGATGAGGTGATGGGGAGGTTGTGAAGAATAGTGTGGGGGAAGAGAGAACACCATGAGGAAGTGGCTAAAGCTCTATCTAGTCTCTCCAGGACTTTTGCGTAGCCTTGCTGGCCATTAGTCCAAGTGAAAGATGGACCAATGAAATCCAAATCTATTAGGTTGAAGGTGCTGATGAAGTGTGATAGAGCTTTAGATAGGATGGGGCTGTTGTTTCTGAAAGACTTGTGGTCCTCCGGTCTGTATATATCATTTAAGTCTCCCATTCACAACCAAGGCTGACTTGTGGATGACTGCAATTGAGTTAAATAACTCCACAGTATTTTCCTTTGATGCCTGACCGGGTGGCCATAAAAAAGGAGAAGTTGCCAGGATTGATTTGGGGGGCAATTTTTTATTTGCAGTTGAATTATATCGGGGTGTGTTTGGCGAACTTTTATATCTGAGAGATTCGACCAGCAACATAATAGACCTCCGGATAAACCCACTGCTTCCCATAGTGCATGGTGTGAAAAACCTAATTTTTTAACTAGTGGTGGAGTTATGGACAAACTAAGTTTGGTATCAGAAAGGAACAGTATGTCAGGTTTCTCTTTGCGGCATAGTTTGGAGAGTTCTCTAATTTTCTTGGAGTCATTAACTCCCCTTATGTTCCAGGCAAGTACTTTCATAATGTATGTAAAGAAAATGATGAATGTTGAATGCATAATTATAGATAAATAGAAGAAATTAAAAAGAAAATGCAAGGTGGAGCATACCTGGGTAGGTTCAAAGTGTGAGAGGGTCAGGTTAGTGAAGTCAACGGTGTGGTAGCAATCCTCCAAGCAGCGCTCCAAGCAGCGCTCCATCGGGTAAGTGACTACCCAGTAAGTAAATTGATTGTGCCTAAGCTCCCTGTTTTGGTAAGGTAGTGGGCTGTCAAATCCAGTTTCTGGTCATTAGGCCACTTCGTTTGATTATGATTAGCATGCAGGCTCGAAATACTTGCATGACGGCCACATGTTGACTTGGAGGGAGTGCTAGCTGGAAGGGACTCGGTGATTCTCATGCATGCACGAGTTACCAGAGATGAGTGCGAGATGTTCACTGGAGTTGTCGATACAACGTTTTTTTCGACCACCTAAGCCGTCTTTAGAATCCTCGTCCGAGCCATGTTCACTGTGGCGGACTCTACAAGAGTCTGGTTTGGCTCTCTTCAAGTTGAAGATTGGGAGATTGAAGGGTTTCTCTGGAAGGAACTCTGCTCTCAACCATTCACCGGGGTTGTCGATGGTTCTCTCTTCAAGCAGTTGTCTGTAATCCACAGCTGTGGAGATAAGTCACTTGCAGTTTGTCCAAACATGGCCGATGGGGCCATAGTTTGCATAGACATGAGGGAGTTGCTCGTAACAAAAACGGAGCCAAATCGGCTTACCCTGATAGAACATGAAGCATCCTATGCAGAGGGGTTTGCGAAGATCAATAATAATTTTCTTCCTAACATACAAACCCCGAATAAAGTGACCTATTGGAATTTTTCCTGATTGGGGACGATTGCTCCTGCTACTTGTGTGAGAGAGCAAACCCTGCTATCCTCGACTGTCCCTCTGGGTAGCATGTGTATTTGCAACCATAGCCTTTGACTCCATACCTTCTTAACTGTGCCAGTGCATGAATCACTCCACTCTTCAAGAAGTATCCAGCTGGATTGATAAAACCATGGGCCCTCCTCTAATGCAATTTGTCTGTCATTCTGATTAGAAAACAAGAACTCAAGACTTCCTCCTTCAATAAATCGAATCATAATAGGAGTTGTAGCTTTCCATTGAATGCTAACATGGTTAGCCAAGGTGTCTTCAATTATTTGTTGGTGCAGGAAAATGTGCCCCTTTAATGTAACGGCTATAACATTAATAGCTTCCTCTATAGGTTCGAAGGAAGGAGTTTGAAAGTCACTACTTACATTTACTGTATGTGAGAAGAGGGATTCGATGTTCGTAGTTGCATGCATGGAATTTGTGGCGGATATTATTTCTTTTTCCTTTGAGGACATACTGGTATGAGGGCTATTCGGTTTTCACGAGAGAGGATGAGAGTCAGTAACTTCCCGATGGGGCCCTATGGGGACTGCGGAATGTGGGGTGGTACAGGGGAGAGAATCTATCTATAGGGAAAGGTGGAAGAATCTATGTTGTAGTAGAATCTATCCACCCGATATGAGTGTAATGGAATGTGGGGTGATAATTTCAGGGGTTACATGGATGATATGTTGGAGAGAGAAGGAGAAGTTACAGAGAAGGGGGGGTTGTGTTGGCGGTGTTACGTGAGACAGAAGAGGGATAGTTACAGAGGAGGAGAAGGTGCTAGGCTAGCAAAAGATTACCGAGAAGAAGTTACGGAGAAGGAGGACGTTATAGAGAAGAAGTTACAAACATGCAAGGTTGATAAGCTTGCTAGCTTGAGAGGCGGCTGCATGCAGAAATGGGGTGATCTGATGTGAGGGTTAGAGATAAGCTAGCATGCAACTCTGGATGGAGGTTAGTTATCGGTTAGGAGGAATATTATGGATGGAGGTTAGGTATCAATTAGAAGAAGGTTGTGTAAGGTGGGAGATGAATCGACAATGGCTAGAGGATAACATACCTGAGAATACAAACCAACACTGGGTTGATAATCGAAGAATGGAAGGTGAACCAACGCTAAGTAGAACCGATGCTAAGGGGAACAGACGCTGAGGTCGATGATAACTCAAGAAGAAATAAAAATGATTTAAATAAATGATTCAATGAATATGAATAACTTAAATGTTGGATTTAATGAGGATTGAATGCATTGGATATATTTAAATTACCTCTTTTCAACTCATTTAATATCAAGAACCAATTACACTATTTATCTTCATTTTTTATCACTAAATTTAAATATAGAGGGGTAAATATTGTCCTTAGAAAATTTCATAAATATTCTTGAGGCCATCCATACTTTTTAAAGTAACATATAGATGTTTATTAAGTATCAACTGACTTTTCAATGTTCTTGTCAATGCCAATACTTCAAACCTTGCTTGTACATTGACGAAATCACAAAAACACTTTCGAGTCCATGTCTACTGGATACAGTCATATAATATGTGTAATACTTGTTAAGGGAATAGATTAGCTGGAGACAAAAACATACACACCTGACTGAACTACCTATCACGGTTGAACATGCCAGTGTTCAGTATAGCTGAGTCCCAGATGGAGCTCACAATGAGTACTGGCGTGTTCAACTGTGATAGATAGTTTAACTGGGTGTATATGATTTTGTCTCCAGCATCCGGACTGACTAGTTAGCAATAAAAAACAAACATGTCAAGTGATTCCTACTATTCTACGGTTTCTGCCATCTGCAATTAGCATTAATTTTTTCTTTTTTCCTTTTTCTGAGTTGGTGTTCTAACAAGTATTACAAATCTTGTTTAATCCAGAGTAGGTCTAGACTCCACACCTTCCTCATTGAATGATGGT